CGCTCCGCTTTGTCCTCTGCCCATACTGGGCCTGGGTGCCGCTCCCCCGCCAGTTTTGGCTAGGCCGAGGGGGCGCGCGCACGTGTGCCGCACCTCCTCGCTCGTGGCTGCCTCTTCGCCGCGCGCCCACCGGCCGGCTGGTCCGCCCCAGCGCTGGCTCCAGGCTCGCCCACCCTTCTGTGGGCTGCTCCCTTCTTTCGCCGCTCTGCCCGCCGCGGCCAGGGCGCGCCCAGGGCATTTCCTTTCCTTTCCCCATCTCGCGTCCCGGCCTGGACTCGTGGGTGCCTGTGTCCTCAGCCCCTGTTGGGCTTCCGGGAGCGCTGCGGCCGTGGCTCTCCCCCCCGGCGGGCCCATTTGGTCCATCCCGGCAGGGGGGCCCGTGTTCTCCGCGACTGCACCTGTTCGGTGCCCGCCCTCGTGGCTTCCCCCGTGACGTGCCTTGTGGCTCCCACGTGCTTCTCCGCCCCTGGCGCCTGGGCTGGCCTTGCCGCCCGCGCCTTCCCCCGCCCCACTCTCTCCTTACAGGGTGGCTGCGCCGTCCCCATCCTTGGGGCACTGGCGCTTGATTGTGCGTGGCGTGTAACCTTGCCCGCGTCTGCGCCCTCACCCGGGGGACGTGCAGTCCTATCAGTGACCGTCTTGCATCTTTACCTGCTGGGCTTACCCGCGGCCCGCACTGTGCCCCGCCGGTGGCCCCTCCCTGGTGGAGCAGCCGCCCTGGTCCCGCCGGCGGTGCGTGATCCGTTCCCCCGAGCGGCCCCGCTCTGTCTCCCCCTCTCTCGCAGCCGTCTCTTCGTTCTTTTCTTCTTCTCCCTGCATGGTGGCACAATTCGCTCAACGGTTTCCCCGTTCCAGTAGCTATCGCCAGCGCAGTGACTCTGCGTAGCCGCCGGCGAACAGATGTTTACCCGCGCGCAGTATGATTATGTTTGCCGTGCATCATCGCCGCGCGCGAGGCCGCTACCGCCAAACTTGTGTGTGTGTGTGTGTGTGTCTCTCTCTCTCTCTGTCTCTTGTTGTTTGGTCAGCGAATGGTTCAGACTACGCAGTCATGCTCAGACGGTGGAGTCACGGAACGCACGATCCATTATTTAACATGTTGTTTGCGTTCTGCTGGTTGGCTCCCGCTGTTGAGTTGAGGCGTGGACGTGCGTTATTTTCGATCAATGCACCGAAGGTGCCCCCCCCACGCTTCAATAGATGGTCGGTCCGTGTCGTGCCGACGCGGCTGCCATTCCAGCGCGGGCGTTCAAGGTTGAACGCCTCCAGTGGGCCAGAATCGACCAACACGGGACGATTTGGCGATCAAACAATCTTTGGTCGTTCAAGGTGGCAAGATCCGTGCGTTGTCAGAAGCCGAAGCTGGGGCCGTGTCGACACGAACCTGCTGTACAGTCAGGACGCTAGTACAAGGACCATTTTGGACTCAGGAAGGTCTCTGGTTTCCAGGGCCGTTCCCTAGATCCAGGTCGTGGCACCTATTCGTGGCCGAGGCATGCCCTCATTCCTGTATGCATTCTACCGCTCCCAAGTTTCTTCGCCGTCCCTGTCCCCGGCTGCCCCGGGGCCTTGGGCGCTGCCCTGCGCTCTGCGCCGCTACTGGTTTCGTCCCCGACCGTCCTTGACTCCAGTGCTGCCACGCGTCGGCGTCAACTTGGTAAGGCTTCGGGTTGTGCACCGACGGCCCCCCCAGGTAGTCCTAGCTTCACCGAGCGCGTTCCACTACTTGCAAAGTGCCAGCTCGCAATCGTGCACCAGACAAATGTTTGTCTCGATGCACTGTAGCCTGTTTGCCTCGATGCAATCGATCCAGGCCGTTTGCGAGTAGCTACTTTGCGAGTAGTGGAACGCGCTGTCTTTGGCTGGCGTCAGTAGCCCCCCCGAGCGAATAGTCCCAGCTGCCCTCAACATGCCCCCCCAAAACAGTCTGGGGCGGTCTCAACACCCTGGCGCCGCATCCGGCGGCGACCATGAGGGTTGAGGTGTTGAAGCCGCCCTGCTCGGGGGGTCTTAGAGGCCTCTTGGACCCTCTTGGGCGCTTTCTGGGGCCCTCTTGGCCCGGCTTGGGGCCCTCCCTCTGGTTTCTCGAACAGTCATGCGGGGCAGCCCCAAAGCGTTCGGGAACGTCCAGGAAATGTTTTGGGCCCCAGTCCCCAGAATATTATAATCCCCGAGTCCTGAGTACAGGGAACAGAGGATACATGATGACCTGGAGAAAACTCCTCTTCGCGCCTCGCGGCACGGTGGCGGATTTAGATCTGTGCACCCAGTGATGTATGCATGTATGCTTGTTTGTCTGTTTTTTTGTTAGCTATTGTGTGTGTGTGTGTCAGTCTGTCTGTTTGTCTGTCTGTTTGTCTGTCTCTCTGTCTGTCTGTCTGTGTCTGTCTGCCTGTCTGCCCGTCTGCCTGTCTGCCTGCCTGCCTGCCTGCCCGTCTGTCTGTCTGCCTGCCTGTCTGTCTGTCTGTCTGTCAGTCTGTTGTCTGCCTGTCTGCCTGTCTGTCTGTCTGTCTGTCTGTAGGTAGGTAGGTAGGTAGGTATGTATGCATATAGGCATGTATGCATATATGCATGGTTGCATGTATGCATGTTCCCAAATCAGAGCTTGCCTCTGTAGGGGTCCTAGCGGATTCATATGGTTAGGTGAGCTTTACCACCGATTTCTGCGGCCCGCCCGGGTGCCCGGGTGCCCTGGTGCCCGGGTGCCCGGGTGCCCAGGTGCCCGGGTGCCCGGGTGCCCGGATGCCTAATAGCCCTGTAGCCCTACAGCCCTATATTCCTATAGCCCTATAGCCCTAGAGCCCTAGAGCCCCATAGCCCTATAGCCCTATAGCGCAATATCCCTATAGCCCTATAGCCCTATAGTCTTATAATAGCCTTACAGCCCTGTGGCCCTATCGCCCTAGGGCTCAATAGCCCAATAACCCTATAGCCCCGTAGCCCTATAGTCCTATAGATATATAGCCCAATAGCCCAATAGCCCTATAGCCCTATAGCCCTATATCCCTATAGCCCCATCGCCCTATAGCCTTATAGTCTTCTAGCCCTATAGCCCTACAGTCCTATAGACCTGTAGCGCTACAGCTCTATATGCCTATAGCCCTATAGCCCTATAGCCCTATAGCCTTATAGCCCTTCATCCCTATAGTCCTACAGCCCTATGGTCCTATAGCCTACAGCCCCTATAGCCCTACAGACTCATAGCCGCCCTATGTCCCTATAGCCCTATAGCACCATAGCCCCAGCGCCCCATAGCCCTATAGCCCTATAGCCCCACAGCCCTATAGCCCTATGGCCCTATAGGCCTATAGCCCTATAGCCCTATAGACTTATAGCCCTGTGGCCCTATGGCTCTATAGTTTCATAGCCCCATAGCCCCATCGCCCTATAACCCAATGGCCCCGTAGCCCTACAGCCCTATACACACTTAGATTTGTTGTAATGTTTACTGTTCTCTTGTATTCTTTTATGCATGCATATGTCTTTACATGCATGCATTCATGTGTGTCTGCCGGTCTGTATGCATATATTCATGCATGCATGCACGCACGTCTGTATGTAATGCATATGTATATGTTCATGCATTCGTATATGCATGTGTATATGTATGTGTTTTATGTACATGTACCTTTGTATGCACATGCATATATGTATGCATGCATTTAGGTATGTATGTATGTATGCACGTATGCATGTATGTACACATATATGTGTATAGATGTGTGTGTGTGTATGTATGCATGTGTGTATGCATGTATTGATGTATGTCTATGTGTGTATGTGTGTATGTGTGTTATGTGTATGTATGCATGTATGTATGTATGTATGTATGTATGTATGTATGTATGTATGTATGTATCTATGCATGTATGTATGTATGTATGCATGCATGCATGTATGTATAACTATGTGCATGTGTACGTATGCATGCATGCATGCATGCACGTATGCATTCATGTATGCATGTGTATACATGCATACATGCACGTATGTGTGTATGTAAGCATGAACGAATGTATACATGTCTGTATACGTGTAGGTATGTATGGCTGAATGGCTGAATGTATATTTGTAGGTATGTGTGCATGCATGCATGTATGTATGTGTGTATGTTTTCAATGCACAGATACAGGCATGCACGCATGCATGACTACATGTATGCATACATGTATGTATGCATGGGTGCATGTGTGTATGAACACATGTACGTACATACGTATGTACGTACGTGCGTGGGTATGTATGTGTGCATGCATGTCGATAGGCAGGTGTGTAGGTCGATAGATGTGTATGTTTGTTTGTATGTATGTATGTATGTATGCATGTATGTCTGTATGTAGGTACGTATGTATGTATGTGTGTATGAATGTATGTATGTATGCATGTCGGCATGTACGTATGTACGTATGCATGCATGCATGCAGGTATGTATGTATGAATTCATGTATGTGTGTATATCTGTAGGTTTTTACGCATGCGTGTGTATATGTGCATACTTGTATGTGTACATATATTCCGACTTGTATGTTTGTAGGGAGCACGGGGTGATGAGAGTGCATCTTGTGGTGCGCTTGGCCACGAATTGCGTAATATCGTGTTGTCCAGTGTTGCCCAGAAGGAAATGCGAATGAGAGCGTCCTGATTAGGCGTGTCGAGCCCTCTGATGTTTATGGTTGCTTGTTTTTTTGGTGGTCTGATGTCCTTTTGCGTTTTTCTCCGCAGCATAGACCTTAGAGGTCTCGAACCCTGCCCCGGGACCAGTCTTTCATCCGTGAGCCTGTCTTCGACGGTCCTGGGGCATTGTCAGCGCCCCCAGAGGCAGCAGGCGGCAAAAGACTCGCTGCCACGATCTGTCCTGGCGACGCCCAGATCGGATGCCTTCCCTTGCGCCGACGGACGCCGAGAACCACCAAGGCATCCACTACGCGGAGTCATTCGCCAAGAACAAGCCGCTGTGCTTCTCGTCCCGCGCCTTCCAGAAGAGCCACCCCCAGAAGGAGATGCAGGCGAGCCGTCCTCTCCCACGAAGTGTTGCTGGCACGGATGCGTGGGAGCAGACCCCCTTCTACAAGTTTCCACTCCGCTCCTGGCCCAGGGGGTCCCCAGACCTCCCGCGCCGTGAACAGAACATCTCGAGAGATGCGGTGCTCTGCCTTTTCTCGGCCTCCGACGGCCTTTGACGGGCCCCGGGACCATAGAAAGCGTTCGGGATGAAAAATTGGTCCAGACCTCTGTTGGTCCACGCTGTAGAAATTCACGACGTCGGGGGTCTGGGCTGTTCGAAGATTTGCAGGCTCAGGTCGCCAACCACCTGCCCTCCAAGACATTGGGCGCAAAATTCTGTGTTGTCATGTATGGGTAACTTGCAATGAGTGACGCGGTATCTGCATCCTTTGCGCCTTCACTGACTCCGTGGGTTCAACCATTCGTGCATCCTTTCGATTCTTTTCCCACACATGGTTCAATTTTCGCATACTTCTGTTCTTATTTGACAAGTTTTCGTCTTTATGACCATCTGACCCACTTTGTCCGACTCGAGCATGGAATGCGAAGGGAGTTAGAGCACGAGGTTTGTCACAGAGAGCAGCGGTGTGTTGTCGAAGGGTTATCATTGGTTTTGTCAGCGGTGGATCTTTGGTATGCAGTCGTGCTCAAATGAAGGATCTGAGCATAAAGCATACTGGCATCTGCTCTTTTTTGTGGCTTCTCGTGACTTGTGCATTGTGGCCAGGGCGTCGATGACGCAGATGTTACTTTGGCTTCTCCTATGATTCTTGGTGTTTGTGATGGCGTCTCTCAGGCGCCCCGCGCGAAGGGAGCATGAGGGTGGCAGCAGTAGTGCGTGGAAGGATTTTCAAACAGCTCAGATGGGGATGCTTGCCGTTTAGTGTATCGCTGTGGTTCAGATAATGTTTGGCATTCGAAGTAAGACAAACGGAAGGATACTCAGCGGTGGACCGAGGGGCCTGGGCAGTGACACCAGATGAAGTGATATTCGTCAGAGAGAGGCAGGGTTACCTTCGGCCAGTGATATCAATCGAAACGCCTTCGGCGAGTCACCACAGCACCGTGTCTTTCTGGAAATGCCTATGTGCAAAAACGTTAGGGTGTGCGTTTCCTCAGCTGTTGTTGCTGCAGCTCGAAGGAGATTTGGTGGATGGATCTAGCATTTTTTGAAGTTGGGGGCCTCTTGGGCCCGCTGAGACATTGTTGGGCCCCCCAGGGCTGTCTTGTCGGCCTTGGGGGCCTTGTCGGCAGCGTCTTGGGGATCCTTGAGGTATCCCGTGTATCTTGGGTGCCTCATAGGCCATCCTGGCGGCCTCTTGGGCCCCCGCTGGGCCGTCTTGGGACTCTCTTGGTAACTTGTAGCATTCTTGTGGCCCTATCGGGCTGTCTTGGAGTTCTCTTGGGCTATCTTGGACCATCTTGGGGCTCTCCTCAGGCGTCTTGGGCCCCTGCCAAGGCCTATCGCAGTTCGCTTGGGCCGAGAATCACGGCATACGCAATTACGTGTTTCGGTTTTCGGTTCCGTAGCCTGGCGCAAGCCTTCTCGGCTCGAGCACGCCCTCTTTTCAGGTCCGCGCCAGACCCGGACTCCACTGCGGTGGCGGCTGGCACCGCCGGCGGTCTCACCGGCGCTGCCCTGCGGCGGCGCCAGCGCCTGGCCGCTGCACGCCTAGAAGGACCGCTGGCCCTGGCCGGCGGCGGCTTGGCGGCGCCGCCAGCGGCGCTGCCGCCGCTGCTACCGCCGCCCTGACTGCCGACGCGGTCTGCCTCGACCGTGGGCAGCGGCACCGCTGACCCACGACGCTCTCGCCGCGGCCGCCGCGGGTGCTGCTTCCGCGGCCGCCTCGCGAGGACCACCGGCGGGGGCGGTTTTCGCCGGCTTCGCGGCCGCCTCCGCCGCTCTCGACCTGCGGGGCTGGGGGCCCTCTCCGCTCTTGGCCGCCGCTGCTGCCGCTGCCGCTGCCACTGCTACCGCTGCCGCTGGCAACTCGCCAGCGGCGGCGGCGGCGGCGGATGGCGTCCGCGCTGGCGCCGCCGCGGCGTGCCGTTCGCCGCTGGGCGAGGGCGCGGCTCCGACCGAACCCCGGGATTCTGCGCCATCGGCCCAGCTCGCGGACGCGGCCTGTGCGGCGGCCGCCGCGCCGCCGCTGCCGGGCCGGCCGCGCCGCCCTGGCTGGCTGATGGTGCTGCCGCGATGGATCCAGCTGATTTGTGGGACCCTGCCAGTCTCACTGCAGATGATAGTCCGGGGAACTCCCATCGCTGGCGCCTGGCCGAGCTGGTGCATGGCCGCACCACCATTTGTACGACCGGGTGACGGGGTCACGGATTCGCTGGAGGAGCTCATCAGCCGAGGGTGTTTTTTTGGTTTGTTTTTCTTCTGCCAATTGTGGGGGCCGTGTGGACGTGGAGTCTAGGGATCATCTTCCTTCCCCTGCCTCGTCTCCCCTTCCTCCCCCCGCCTCCTCTCGCCTCCCCCCCCCTCCCCTTCCCCCCCTCCCCCCTGCTCCCCCTCCCCCCTGGATGGATGATCCCCCGACTGTGAGGACGGAGGCCTCCCCCAGTGGGGCTCGTTTTGGGCTGGCTGTCTCCCGTTTGGGCCGTGGAGGAGGAGGAGGTTTTCCTTGTGCTCTGTAGGTGTCAGAGGTATACAGGTAGCTTCACCATTCTGAGAGTTGCTCGCGTGTAGCACGAGCAAAATGTTTAGACAAATATGATTTAGAAATCTATTTGTATTGCTGCGCAGGTTGTGTGTCCTCTTGTCCGCGCCAAGGAGGCGTTGGGATGGTTGGTATGCCGAAATGGGTCAAGTGCCCCCGGTGTGTCCGGGAGGCACCGCTGTCTCGGCCACCTTCACGGCGCCTCCTGTCTGTGGGGTCGTGACAGGCGGCCGACATCACAGGGCCGTCATGGCGTGACCCTCGCCACCCCGCGCCCTGCTCCTGGGGCCGCGGCGCCGGGTCGAAGGTTGGCCGCCTCGACCGGCGCGTCCACAGACCGCCGAGACCGACAGGAGTTACTGCGCTCTCCTGTTTTCGCGCGCAAATGAATATGTCGACCCACGGATGCCCAGGCCTCCCGGCCAGGTCGCGGGGCAGCGGGTTGGCTACATGGGATGGAGTGACATCTATGACAGTCAGATTTGCTGCGCGAGCCGACGCGGCAAACCCATGCAGTGCACAGCGGATGGACTCCGTGTCCGCTGTGCGCATTGCGCCCTGGGTTTCTGGTTCCCTTGCGTTTTGGCTCATGGCTCCTGCCAGGACGGGGGGGCATCACTCGACAGTCGCTGGGCCGGGGGCGGTTGATGTCTTCGGGCATCTCCCCTGGCCACACACTGGTCGTTTGCGCTGGGGGGCGCCTGGCCACCGCGCCCTGGTGTCAGTGGAGCGCGTGGTACTGTGCGGCGTTTCGCCGGTCCTAAGGTGTCCACCTCGCGTGTCCGAGCGGACCATGGAAGCCGTAGTGGCCAGTGCCGTGGGGGGGGGGCCGAGGGGGGCCTCAAGGGGGGGAGGGGGGGAACGCGTCCGCAGACTGCAGGGGTGAGCTCCCGCGTGTTTTGGTGTTAGAACTAGTATTACTGTGGGCCTTCGCTCGGTTGCCCGTGCCGCCTTCGCCTTCGGGTCACCTATTGTGTCAGGGTTCGGTCTTGATCCGGGTCCTTCGGGTGGGGGTCTTGTACCCTGGTGGCAAGTGACGCAACCGGGGAGGGGCCGCATATTGAAACTAGTAACGATAGCGAAAGAGCTCCCCTCGCGACGCGGGGCGGGGGGCCTCGGAGTTTAGAGTCACGAGGTGTACGGAGCCACGGCGCACGTGGCCCCCGACCTCCTTGGCCTGGGTCCTCGCGTTGAATAGAGCACAGTGGTGCGTCCCGTTGGCTTTTTCTCCCTCCCACCTACCTTTTTAATGTTATGTACTGGGATCGTGGAGCGCCGTGGTTCGGTTGTAGGCGCCGCCTTCGCCCTCGGGTCACCCTCTGCGCCGGGGCTGGTCTCGTGCCGGGTCTCTCAGGGTGGGGGACTTGTTTCCCCGTTGGCAAATGAAGCAATCGAGGTCGGTATGTGTGTTTGGATTGTTCATCATGTTCTGCGCGGCTGCTACGTCCCTGTGTCTTTTTCATCATCATGTACGCGGCTTCGAGGCGAGCAGGCCACGGTTTTGAGTTTGGTGGGCCCATGAGTAGTTTAGCTCCTGTCTGTCACGTCTGTTAAGTTTGATTTCCTTTTCCCCCATATCCAAACGATGGGGTTCTTGTTATTCCCCGTATCCAAAGGATGGGGTTCTGGTTATTCCCCGGCCGCGGCGGACATGTCCATGTGAATAGATGCACATACGAGGGGCACCACGAAGTGAAAACATTTTCTGGGCAGGTCGCACCTCGTACGCACACATGATGTTCATGCTACATGCCATGGTTGTCGGGGTCTTCTTTGTTTGCATCTTTGTCCTTATCGTCTGCCCACCCGCCCCCCCCCTCAAGCGGCTCTCCCCCTTCCTTTTCGGCCCCCATCGTTTGTTTGCATCCCCCGTCTATGAGGTTTTCTCTTTTTTGCGCCCCCCGCGTCTTGAGAGGTGGACGAAGGCCCCCGTCCGGGCGTGCGCGCCCTCGACCACCGCCACCGCCGCCACCACCACCACCATTTGTACGACCATCATATATATCATTCTAGAAATCGTTGGCGAGCTGTTGGGGTACTCGTCACAGTCCGCTGGGCACAAGCTCGTGAACAGCGTCGACGGTTTCGGTTTCACCGCAGCAAGGCGATCGAAGTCTGCGCTGAGATCGCTGCCGACTGTTTGCCCCTGAAGGCGGCCCCGCGGCGGCCCTGGTCCAAGACGACGTCCCCGATGCCTACCCCTACACCAACGCCGATGCCGGCGCCAACGGCGGCGATGACGACGACCACGTCCGCGCCGACCTTGATGCAAACGCCGACGCCGACGCCGGCGACGGTTCCGACGATGACGCCGACGCCGAGCCCGTCGCCGGCGCGCGTCCACGACGTCCTTCGTCGCCGCGGCCGAAAAGCGGGGCCCAAACGGCCCTGGTCCCGGACGACGACGACGCTGGCGCCTACCCCGACGCCGACGCCGACGCCGACGCCGACGCGACGACGACGGCGACGACGCCCGCGCCGACACTGACGCCGACGCCGACGCCGGCGCTGGCCCCACTGACGACGCCGACGCCGACCCCGTCGCCGACGCGCGTCCTGGACATTCCTGGTCGCCACGGCCGGGAAGCGGAGCCTGGTAGCGCAGTCGGGGGCAGCGGGACCCAGCAGCGCAATCCTTTCGGGGCGGTGCGTGGCGACCGTCCATGCAGTCCGCCGGGGCCGCGGCGGTGGCCGGCGATTGGGTCATCTCCGACAAGCATCAGGACGGGGGCCCATCGATCGCACCGGAGGCTCCTCGCTCCCCCCCAGCCGCGACAGACGCTGGTGGCTCCAGCACCGAGGGCTGCCCTGGCGCCAGTCTGCGAGGGGAGACACCTCCGCCTGCGCGGCGTGAGTCCCTGCTCTTCGTCAGAGGCGCCTGGGCCGCTTCGCCGGACACCTGCGGCTTTTGGGATTCGTTCGTTCCGGATTACAGGAATCAGGGCAAGGGGCGTGCGCGTCCCGAAGACGCCCCAGCGCGCGTCCTGCTCGATTTCCTCAACTCGAAGGGAGCCCTGGCGGCCGGGGTCAGGAGGGCGCAGCAAACGCGTGGTGAACCTAGTGCGACTTGGAGCAGATATCGCGCTCTGCGCGGCGGCGGCGCCCGCGACCCCAGCCAGCGCGACGCCATTTT